CCAAAAAGTGATAATAAAGTGGAAATGAGGCATTCCGAAAATAAACCTTGATTCCGCAAATGGATTTCATACATAATTACCTTAATTGTGAATTTACAGTAAGTGCATTTAACGTTCACACACAAGTGAGAAAAGCCCGTAAATGTACTAGAAATGAGCTTCTTTCACATGCGCAGATAGAGGAATGCTCGCTGGAACCATGGGAAAAGCAGGGAAATGCTCCCAAATTCGCATTTGCTTTTCACATTACGGTAAATGCAAAATTACCTTAATTTCACATTTGCATTTCCTCCAAACAACCGAATTTCAAAAGACCTTGGCCAACACCAGTTTCTGTCTACTTTCTGTCCACTTTCTGTGTGACATCGTGTGAAAACGCGGGACACAAATTAAGTTTCTGTTTGGGATTTGTGTGGATTAACCAGCAGATTTGCCCCCGTGTGATAACGTCCTTAGACTAAGGGCTTTTGCAGACTGCCATAAATAGTGCAAATTGAGTCCACTTTAACTGCCCTGGCTCAGTGATAGGGAATCATGGGAATTGTATTTTTTTCTGAGACATGGAGACTTCTCTGTCAGAGACCTCTAGTGCCACAATAAACTACAGTTCCCATGATTCCCTAGCACTGAGTCAGGGCAGTTAAAGTGGACTCAATTTGCACTATTTCTAGCTGTCTGCAAAGGCCCTAGGACTCTGGGAGATGAGGGTTCAAATCCCCACTCAAAAACCCATGGGATAACTACGGGCAAGTGAAGGCAAATGGCAAATCTTCTCGGAACAAATTTGGCCAAAGCAAATTTGCAACAGGGTTTCTGCAAGCTGGAAATGACCTGAACATACACAACAACAAAAACAACTTTGTGCCAACCAGTTCCTTTATCCTTCAATCCTCAACAAAATGTGGGAAGGTTCTCCCAAACCACCACCCTCATTCCACCTTGTTTCTTATCTATCACTGCTGCTTAGAGAACAGATGGACTTAAAGACAATCCAGCAAAGAGAAGGCGAGAGACTGTCAGTGCCTTGTGTATTTTACATACCATGCTGTGCCGCATTCATAAAGAGCGCAGCGGAGCTACTGGTCCGAATATAATATGAGTTACCTAAAGAGAAAGGCAATCACAGAAGGCGGCTTGGCCTATTTGGAGTCTCTGGCTTGGAAAAAGGGCCCATAATCCAGCAGTTCAGAGTTTAAGGAGGCAAAAAGAAATAGAATCCCTTCTCTTTCTCTCTCCTTCCTTCTCCTCTCCCCTTTCCATCTGCAGTGCAAGCTGAATTGGGGGGATTCAAGTCTCCAGGAAAGTCTGTCCAGGTCTTACTGGTGGTGAAAAAATTTGGGACCCACAGAAAAGAGCCCCAAATTTGTGCACCAGTGGAGGCAATGCAAGGGGGACACATTACTAGCTTGGAAACTAGAGAAAGGGCACATCCAGACTGATAAGGACGAGGAAAAGTCCCAGATTTTGTTCCTGTTCTTTCCCATGTTATTTTGGAGATCCATACACATTTTGTTTATCTCAGAATATTTTCTGTCAGCTCCCAGTATGATCAGCAATTTATTTATAACAATTCCTTGGGTTAGTTTGTGGTGTTGTTGCTGGGTGCCTTCAAATCATTTCTGACTTAAGGTGACCCTAAGGCACACCATGGGGTATCTTGGGGTTTCTTAGCAAGTTTCTTCAAAAGGCCTTTGCCATTGCCATCCTTTGAGGATGAGAAAGTGGGCAAAGTCACACAGTGGGTTTTTATGCTCAAGCAAGGAATTGAACCTTGATCACCAGGGTCATAGTCCAAGAGTCTGATCACATTATTAAACAAACCCGGCACGCAAACAAAAAGATGCATGTGCTTTTTTTTCTCCCTCCGCATGACTCTTGCTCTCTTCAGGTTGTAAAGGCATCATTTTTGCCAAATGGATAATTTCGGCTTGGCAAATGGGACACTTTTACGACCCACTCTCACGGTTTTACAACTGGAAGAGAACGAAATAGAATGGAAGAAGAAAAAACAGTGTTTTTGTTTGCCTGCCAAGTTTGTTTAATAATGCGATAAGGTTCCATTGCTCAAACCACTACACCATGTTGGCTCTCTAATTTATATTAAACCAAGTATAATGGAACAAGCACAGCAGAGTGGGTTGGGTGTTGGACTAGGACTCTGGAGACCAAGATTTGAATCCCTGGTCAGCCATGGAAACTCATGGGGAGATCTTGGGCAAGTCCTACTCTCAGTGCCTCAGAGGAAGACAATGGTGGCAAACCCCCTCAGAGGAAATCTTGTCAAGAAAACCCTAAAATAGGGTCAACCTTAAGGTCTCCATAAGTCAGAAACAACTTGGAAGCACACCACCACCATAATAATAAAATCAGAAAGAACAGTAATGAAACAGAGGACCTTTCTCCCAAAGAGAGAACATTTGTGTCCAATCTGCAAATGTTGACCTTTTGGAAGTGGATATTCATAAAATGAAAGATCTTATCATACCTCACCATTCTGCTGGGTTATTTTGTTTGAAAATCGCTTCAGCTGTACTTGCAAGGGGAGCTGCTGATACACAGCAGGAAACCTCACAGCTATCAAAGAGTTGGGAGGGCTCCCCAGAGGCCATCAATCCAACCCCCTGCTCAATGCAGGATCTCTAGGTAGAGCATCCAAGGCAGGTAGCTGTCCAGCCTCTTTTGAAAACATCCAGAGAAGAAGACCCCACCACCACTCTAGGCCATTTGGGTCCATGGCCAAACCCCTCACTGTCAAGACATTTTTTCTAACGATAAATCAAAATCTACCTTCCTGTGACTTCAAACCATTAGACCTAGTTCCACTATCTGAGGCAGCAGAGAACAAACATGCATCCTCACCTTTGTGACAGCCCTTGAGAGGCATTTAAGGAGTGTGATCATGTTACCCTTCAGTCTTCTCTTCCCCCCAGACCCAACAAACCCAACTTCTTCAACCATTCCTCATTTGTTTTGTTTTCCAACCCTATTAACATCTCAGTTGCCCTTCTCTGAACCCACTCCAACTTGCCTATAATTGTTCTAAATTAAAGCACCCAGAACTTAATTCATTACTCCAGATGAGACCTGACTGGCACAGACTATTATTACTTCCTTTGTCTTTGAAACTACGTTTTTATTAATGCAGGCTAAAATAGCATTCACCTTCTTTGCTGAGCATCACACTGCAAGCTCATGTTCCACTTATGATCAACAATAATCCCAAGGTCCTTTTCACACGTACTGCCAATCCAAGTACCCGCATCTGTACCTACACATTTGGATTTTCAGTCTAAGAGTAGCATTTTGCATTTGTCTCTGTTAAATGTCATTTTATTCATTTCACCTCAGTTTTCTAGTTTATCAAGGTCCTTTTGAATTCTGTTCCTATCATCCAATGTGTTACCGTCCCTTCCCAGTTTTGTATCATCTGCAAATCTGATAAGGATTCCCTCCACCCCATCATATCTAAACCATTGATAAAATTATTGAAGAACATCAGCTCCAGGACAGAATCCTGATATGGAAGGAGGAGGAGGAGAAAGAGAGAGATTTCCTTGTAGCATTTACGAGTGTGATTTCCACAGTTTTACATCAGTGGTATTTTTGCCTTGTCTCGTTTCATAATTTGTTTGCCTAAATTTTTTAGGCAGGTAGACTTGAGCAGTGAGATTTAAGAGCATCCTTCAATGACACATGTCTGTTTCACTTGGGTCCTGCATTATGGGTTTTTAAAACCCACTATTGCTGAACTGGCCCGGACAGAGAGGTTTCTGCAGCTTCCAGGACTTTCTGTCCCTTTCTAGATTTCCCTCTATGATGGAGGTGGACTCATGGATCAATTAAGTACTGTATTGCAAAATAAAAGGATGGGGAGGAGGAGAAGGAGAAGAGAGAGGAGAAAGAGGAAAAGTGCAGGAGGAGGAAGAACAAGAAGAAGAAGTGGTGGAGGCAACAAAAGAGGGAAAAAGTGGGTAGTAGTAATACTAGAGAAGGAGAGGAAGAGGCAAAAAGGAAGAAGGGAAAGGTGGGGGGAAGAAGTAGTAGTAGTACTAGAGGAAAAGGAGGAAGAATAGGAAGAGGAAGTGGGGAAAAGATAGCTGTTAACAATAAAACCATTGATTCATTTGCACTGAGGGTATCCTTAGTGTGATGTTTTACACACCCCTGCACATGCACACCAAAATCTTATGGAAAATCGAGCAATCCTGCACACACCCACACACTAATAGGTGCAAGGTTTTGTTTTGCAAGCTTACTGGGCTTTGTGCAAGGTTTTTGTGTTGTAAGGTTGCTAGTTTTTTTCCGCAGAAAATAGCAATCTTGCACGCACGCGTATAACCCAAATGTAGAAACAGGATTTTTGAACTCAAAATCCCACAGTTCTCATGCAAAAAGAATATTGTGTATTTCTGTGCAAAATCATTTTTCAAAACACTTCAGGGGGTGTCAATATTAGGTGTGAACTACCCAGAAATATTCATTTTCTCTGAATTTTGGAGAAAACTGGAAATTATTCATCTACCTGTGTGAGAGTAAAACAGTCAAATATTAAAACCTCTAGTACACACAACACAGAGAGAGAATTAGAGCATTGGTATTTCAGTGTGTACCTCTTTGCCAGCTGATAGACAGGCCTAGTTCACAACCGGGAGGTTCCTTGCAAAAATTTTGAGCAAACACCAGCAAAAAGTTATGTTTACAGAGGCATTAAGCTCCACTTAACATTTTGATACCAAAGTTCAGTGGACCATTTTGTCTCCAAATTAGGCTGACAATCTTTGCTCCTAAATCATAAACTCAAGAGCTGGAAGGGACTGCAAGGGCCGCCTAGTCCAACCCCCAGCCATGCAGAAAAATACAACTAAAGCACTCCTAAAATACTCCCATCCAACCTCTGTTTAAAGACTTCTTGTCACCTCTCAGCCTTCTTTTCTCTAAGCTAAATATCCTCAGCTCCCTAAGCTGCTCCTTATAAGGCTTGGTTTCCAGGCCTCTTAAAAGACAGTGTGGTGCAGTGGTCTGAACGCTGGACTGTAACTCTGGAGACCAGGGTTCAAATCCCTGCTCAGACATGGAAACCGATTAGGTGACCTTGGGCAAGTCACACTTTCTCAGACTCAGAGGAAGGTAAAGGCATACTCCCTCTAAACATATCTTGCCAAAAAGACTAGGGTCATCTTTGTTGTTCTTGTGTGCCTTCAAGTTGTTCCGGACTCATGATGGCCCCATTACACGGTCTTCTTGCCACTGCCTTCCTCCAAAGCTGAGAGAGTGTGACTCGACCAAAGTTGCCCAGTGGTACCAGAAGCAGAAACAACATGGGAAGAATAGGGATAGCTCCCTATATCATGTTTCAGCATTGGGTTAGGGAAGCATTGCATAAGTCAACCAAAATGTTTTTCAACTTTCTAGAGACAATTTAAAAGTCTTCTAATATGCAGCCAGTGATGGCTTTTTCTTTCACCAGCCTCTACCTCTCTTATGATTCCCATCTTGGTGGCCAGAAGTACAGAGCTAGCCAGCATGGCAGAATGGATTGAGTGTTGGGCTACAACTCTGGAGATCAAGGTTCGATACCCAGCTCAGCCATGAAACCCACTGGCTGACTTTGTGCAGCTGCATTTTCTCAGCCTCAGACGAAAGCAATGGCAAACATCCTCTGAACAAATCTAGCCAATGAAACACCATGATAGGGTTGCCATAAATCGTAAATGCCTTGAAGGCACACAACAACTTCACGTTTCTGATGCATATAAACAAGTATGCTTTAAATTGTACTTGATATCCCATTAACAGTGCTCAGCAGACGGATTGTTTTGCTCCAATTTCTAGTTTATCAAGGTCTTTTTGAATTCAATTCCTATCTTCCAATGTGTTAGCTCCCCTTTCTACTTTTGTATCATCCGCAAATCTGATAAAGATTCTCTCCACCCCATCATCTGATCATTCATAAAAATACTGAAGAGTGTTCCCAGGATGGAACCCTACATGGCAAAAAATGGCAAAAAAACGTGCACAGGCAGCATGTAAAGGGGACACATGGTCTTA